CGAGAAGAGGAAAAGGGGAGGATGGAGGCGGGGAGAGAAGAGGAGAGAAGGGAAGGAGGAGGACCGATTTAGGGGGTGCGCGGGAGGAAGGGGAGGGAGAAGGGTGGAGGGAGCCTTCAGGGGAGAAAACTTGGAGCAGCTATTCGCGAGGGGCGGCGCCCCGGCCTGGCCGGGTTCCTCCGGGTGCTCCCAGTCCCGTCGTCGCTGTTCGCGGGATTGATTCTACCCGGGAGCCGGCCGGGGGGATGGAAGAGTTTGGACGTGCGGGGCGCCCCTCAAGGACTTGGCTTTTCCGGCCGACGCGCCCCACCCCCATGCTAGAAACTCCAGACCTGAGCGTCCTCGAGGGAAAGGGGGAGAGAGCAGGAGACAGGAGTGGGCAGATTTGGCCGCGGCCGCAGGCGGACGCCTGAGAATCGACTTCCCGGAGGATCCCGCCTTTCCTCTCCCAGCCGGGCCCGCTGCCCCACGGCCGGTACCGCCCCGACTCGGCGCCTGCTCCTCGCCGGGCGGGGACTCAGACTTAACCCCACGGGTCCCACGGCCCGAGAAGCGCCCGACAGTTCCGTGCGGCTTCTACGGAAGTTGACTCCGGCGGGCGGCGGCGACGCAGAACCGACGTAGCGCGGCAGTCTGCCCACCGGAGGCGAGGGCAGGGAGTCCAGGATGGTCGTGGCGCTTCCCTGGTGGGTGGTCCAGGGGGAGAGAGTGGAAGCAAGAGCCCTCCCCTCCGGCCTCTCCACTTGGGCTCTGCTCGGGCTCCTGGCCGCTTCAGCCTGCAACCCGAGTCTGCGAGCTCCGGACCGACGAGCTTAAAAAGGGGGTCCTGGTCTTGGCTTCTTTGTCAGGGCGCGTGTGGAAACACATGGTGCTGGCTCTTTGGGAGAGAGGATGGAGGACGGAGTGGGAGGAGGTAGGAGAGGTGGGGGTAGGGGGAGGTGTTCCTGCTGTTTCTAAGGTTTCGAAAAGCCCTGGATTTAGCTCCTTCCCCCACTTGTCCTTTCCACTTCCGTCTTCCTTCTCCCCTCTCAGCTGTTGCAGGCCTGGAGCTGCCAGTGCCATTCTCATTGTCAGGACCCCAGCCAGATTTGATCCCGGACTCTGCTCTCACACAAGGGCAATGGAACCTGGGTCTAGGCCACGTTTCTTCCTTCCCACCCCTTTAGGCTTTCTAGAGGGTTCATGCTAGGAGCATTGGAATGGGAGTCCAAAGCCCTGGGTTCAACCTTTGGCTTTGCTTGGTATCTATCGAAAGGCACATATTTATTCCTTTTAAGTGTCCATTTCCTTATCAGCAAGATTTCCAAAATTTTCCCGCTGATCCAGCATTCTGGAAGTCCTTCAGGGGTATTGCAGGCATGTGAGGGTGGAACCCCAGGACTGCCTCTAAGACTTTTTAGCTCCTGGGGGCCTGCTGTGGTATGTTGAAGCCACAGGGCTGTCAAAGTAGGTTTCAAGCCAGTGTGTGAGGGGGGGTGTGGGGGTAGTTGCAGGGGGTGTATCCTGCAGAAATCCAAGTAGCATCTTTGGATGCATCTATGGTCTGGGAGAGGTCTTGCTGCATCCAGGCCACCCTATCCAGAATCCTATGTGCTGGCACACAGGGTTAGCTCCAGAGTCAGCTATGAGGACCCTGGGAAGCCTGGGAAAGAATCTACCCCTGGGTGCAGTGAGGTTCTGAGCCCACCTTGCTGACCTCCAACAAAGGACAACCTACTCTTTCCAAGACTCTTCTTCAGCTGCATGGTTAAAAGGATTCACCTGGTGGGCTGGTCTCCACCCTGGCCATCACCATATTACATTTTGGCAAGATCAGGCTGGGGTTGTAAGGGGGAACACCCTGGTCTGGTGTGAGTGAGAGGGAACAGCCGGTCTCTTCCTGGCTTGAGACTTTGGGTCAGTCTCTGGTCTTCTCCACCTCATTCTCTCCCTCCTTTAAATAAGGCGTGGGCGATTTCTCAAGTCCCTGCTGGTTCTGAGCTGGGGTGGGTCTAAGAATACTAACATTAAGAAAATGTGAGCAATATCTGCAACCTCAGCTGCGGTGTTCACTGCAAATGTGCACCTCCTTGGACCTTTGGAGCTTTAAGATTGAACTTCCCCCAGACCTGGGTCCTGCCTATGTTCAGTGAAGGCAGATTTTCTGGACCTTTTCGGAGCTCTAACCTCACTGACCCTCCAAATGCTGCCCTCTTTGCAGCCCTTTGCCCTAAGCCCTAGAAACAGCCCTGTCAGATGCCTCCCAGCAGCAGTCAACAGCAGAGACAGAACAGAACAGACGTGGGACCTGCCACCTTGGATAATATACTGTGTGCCATATGAAAAGTCATTACAGAGCAAGCACAGAAAACCTGTAGTACCATTACTGATGTATGTGTGTGTGTCCATGTGACACTAGTTATCTACCTCTCCCATGTTTATCAGAAACTGGTTCTGGCAGGTCTGGGACAGAACCTCTTGGCAGCCAAGGCAACTCCCTAAAAAGGTTATAAGCTGAGCTAGGGACTCTTCACACTCCTCAGCCACCTCCATGCCTGGCCCCCTCCCTGATGGTCTTTGCTAAAAGACTTGGAACATGTCTGGATGAGGATTTGACAGACGCCAGCCTGACCCTAAGACAATCTCAGCCCCGGTTGGTTCAAGCGCTCAGAGCAGCTGTTTAAGAGGCCTGCGGGTGTCAGGCGCCTAGGATCTACTCCACCCCAGTCTCCAGAATCCCTGTCCTCCTTCCTCCCCTAAAACCCATATTCAAAAGGCTTGCACTTATTGCTTCATCAGGCACAAACAGAAGACGCTCCATGGCTAGGGAGAAGAAAACTTTTGCAGACCTGTGGAAATTTGGGCTTCATTGAAATGCCTCCATTCACCTCCAGCTGTGCTGAAAGTCCCTTGGGAGGATCAGACTTTCTGGAAGGCAGCAGCAGCAGGGGTGGGGGTATGGGTGTGTGGGGACTGGGGTTATAGCAATGGGGGTTGGAGGGGTGTGGGGGTGTATGTGGGGGTGTGCACCAATGATCTCACTGACAGCATGCCTTAGCCCCTGATTCTTGGTCAGAGACAGTCTGGGGCCTTTGTGTCTGGAGTTGGGCAGGAAGCTCCTAGGACAGTCCGTAGGCCTCCACTGACCGGCGCTTATTGACCAGCCCAGGTTTGGTACATTGCGCCCACCCGCGGGACTTTTGGGGAAGGGGAGAAAGCAGCCGCACTAGTCTCCCAACGGCTTTCCTGGCTTTGGTTTGGGGCCATTTCGGAAAGAGCGGGGTGATCTAGGGAGAAGGAGCTGCTTACCGGCTATTTCTAAGGCCAGGGGACGGGAAAGCCTTCGTTTCGGGCAAACAGGGACCCTCGTTCGTGACAGAGAAGGGGGCGGGTGCTCCGTGCCAAGCCCGGGGACCAGAGCTTTTATTTTATTTTATTTTTAAAAATCCTCATTTTCCAGCCTACAAAGGCTGCAGAAGCTCCTGGACAGACTCCGGCCCTGGCGCCGCCCGCCTCAGTGCGTCCACGCAGCTCCGCACCGCGGGCTCGGAGCTCTGGGGCGTCCGGGCGCGGGGTGTGTGTGTGTGGTCTCTCCGCTCTCCCGCAGC